AGTAAGACAGATGTCCTGAAGTCACAAATAACAAGGAAATGGTCTCCCTGGCAATGAGAACCACATGAAAGCCCTGAGCATGCTTCATCTTTACTCTGATTCTTTTTTCTTCTTTTGTGGGTTGGCTGTTTGGGAGATAGGAAGGCTATAGGACAAAAAGCAAGCAATTCTCATATACTCATATACTGCAGTGATAAGAGAAGTAGCATGCACACCTAAATTTTAGCCAAATCATGCAGCCAGCAGACTGTTAAGGCTTGCCAACTCTCAAGATGCTTTGTGAATTATTCAGCACATTCTTGAATCTTCGGTCAATATTTTAATTATAATAACTATAATGTGGGATAACATGGTTATTTTTCCATTGACTCTGATAGCCTGAGGCTATAGAACACATGGGGCATTTATAGATGTGCTGCGGGGGGGGGCACTTTAATTAAAGTGGTTTTGAGAGCTGCTGTAATTAAAGCGCCTGGTGTGTCACGTGTATCAGCGTCCCCACATTGAAAAATGGTGGTAGGGGTGCTTTAACTAAAGCTCGTTGAATGAGCTTTAATTAAAGCTCCCCCACTGCCATTTTTCAGCAACAGGAAGCTGATGCACATGGCGCTGGAGTCTGCTCCAACGCATTGTAATTATAGCATGTTAGAGCAGCCTCAATGTACATGTATAGGCACCCATAGGAGCCGACATTGCTTTTTGCTGATGGGTGCTTTGTTCTTTGTTTTGCATGCCCACACCGAGCCCCACACATGCCCCAAAGAGGCAGCACATTACTTCAACCTGTCTCACCCAATGTGGCTTGTGGGTGCTGAGCACCCGCTAATTTTTTTTGGTGGGTGCTTGAGACCCAGAGCCCTCTGAGGTGGCACCTATGATAGAACATGTAGGCAATGTCTGGAAGCCAAATCAGGTTCCAAAACATGAACAACAGCTTAAAGAATAATCTAGTGTAGAAGGGCATGAAAATAATGCAAACATTTGAGCCCACTGTAGGAACTTCATATAGATAAGAGCAGTGACTGTTCTTCTAGCAGGAGCTAGATGGGCCAGTGAAATCTGCCTGGCCATTTTCTTGTGGTCAGTACATGGCCCTTTGAGTAGATTTGGTTGGAAAGCTTTTCACAAAACCAAGTTCAAGTCCCAGCTGTGGCTTGACTCAGGAAGGCAAGTATCCCAGGTCCCAGGCAAGTGCCCTCAACACCAATGAAGCAATTTTCAAAATATCAGTATTTTGCATGAGATAAAATTGTTTTCCAGACTTTTAGGACTATGCCAAAAATAATGGTCCCAAGCTCTGGGAATGGCAGAAATGTGGACCGGAGAAGTCTGTTATGACTTGCATCAGGAAGATGCTAGACAAGTATCACAAACTGAAAGCTTTTTAAAAAGGAACCCCCTTGCTCTGAAATAGCCATTTGTGGGCCTATTGCAAGTTAAATATTTATATCCCACCCTGTCATATACTCTTTGTATGGGGGATAGGCAATAAGTAGGAGTGTGTTTATAATACACAAATTTCCATACTGGATGAGGCCATTGGTCATTCTAAGCCAAAGCTTTTCTTTGGCAGTGGCCAGCACCAAATACTTCAGAACATGTTGTAAAAATGGAGAAATATCCCTGTTGACACAAAAGCTCTGTTAATCAGCCTGATCCTCTGCATGTTTTCGACACTTATGACATCTCAAATCAGAGCGATAGAAGGGAGTCTAAAGCAACCAATACTGGACTGTGGCATCACAGAATAAACCAGGCAAGAAGAAAGAAAACTGCTAACTTAAAAGCATTAGAGGTCAGATCAGAATTATGTTGTTTGAATAAAGAAGATAAAGCTGCAAGGTCTGATATTTCAGGGAGGCTAAGTACTGGTGATTCCTACTGACTTCCTGAAGTAGCAGGTATTCACCACCTTTCCAGATTACCCCCAACAGAGAAGTCCTCTGGTCTTAATGATTTGTTAATTTAAAAGTGATTTGCTTAGCCTAAAAATAAGACCCTTCTTCCTGTCAGCCCCAAACCTGTAGGAACTCTTGGTGGCATATCACGCTACAATGCTTGTGGCCTCTGTCCCATCTGAGAAGACAAGAGCTATTCTGGCAAAATCTCCTGTAAATGTTACAATCTCGGGTGTTAACTCTGTTGTGCAGCTAAGTGTCTGGGT